AACCTTCTCACTAATCTTTATCGATGATGTAACTCATGATGGTAGCAGTGTTGTGAATACAGACGTTTACAGAAACATTGTGTATGCCAATTTACAGAGAATTGCATCCAAATTAATCAAGAGGAACTTTATCATGAGAGAGAGGCAAAGCTGGAACCTTGAGTCCAGTGTGTGACTGTTATCACATTTCATGTTTGAGATTTTTAATCTTTTTTTTTTTTTTTGTCTCCTAATAAATCTTATTTCAACCGCACTATCAATACCAGAGTTTCCTTGTGACGTCAGAGCACCAACACGGCCGCTAACTTGTCACAGGAATAACAAAAAAATACAACACTAATCAAATATCACAAAACACATCACAAATATGTTACGATTAACACGTTTAAATATGCAGATTAGTCTTTAGTCTGGGCAAATTATCAACAACATCTGTTTTGTGTGTGTGAGGTCTATCACTTGGCTGTCTTATCAGCCAAACCGAAAAAAAAAAAAAACCCATGGAAGGTTAATTTTCTGGAACAGAAGTGCTCACAAAACAGTTTCCTGATCAGTCCTCACTGGCTGTTGTGGTTTAAAACCAATTACAACTATAAGATAATTGCATGCAGTTAGGTGTGAAATTGCAGCAAGTTATTTTTACTGTCACGCATCACTGATTTTAATGACTTTTCCTTTAACATGCTACAAAGATAAAAACACCCCCCCACTTTATCTTAAAGCCCTGTGTGCACACTCATTAAGCCGGACATACATTTAAGTTTAAAGTAATGCTATAGAAGCCTTCCAAATGGTTAAAAGTGCTCCGTCATATTTACATCCAGGCAGGAAATGACTTTTCATCCACGTTTCCTCATATTATTACGTTTCAGCTTAATCCTACCATCCCTTCGTAGCCAGAGAAGTGAAATGCACTTCATTTACCTGTTATCTCACAGCTGTCAGCTTGATGTAGTGACATCACACACATTCATCTCCCTGTCCGGCTCAGGCGAGCTTAATAACGTGAAAGAAGCATGGCATTGGAGCTTCGCTATTCCTCGTTAACCTCAAAGAAAACTGGAGTCTGCTCCATCCATCCTTCCTGCATACATCCCAGTATACATCGTACATGACGGATGTTACCGAGTATCAATAAATTATTCAGATTAATCAGATAACGTCTCCGTCGAAACAGATAGTGGAACAGATATGTTCTATTTAATGCATTAACTCATAATGTTTTTGCTTAACAGAAAAGGTTCACCAAGAATTTTGGTTGAGACTAGAGATGTGGATCAAAAAAAGAGAGAAAAATGTAGGACATGCCGGACGAATGGTCCTTTGTAATTAGTCATCCTTAGTATTAGGCTAGTTTGTTTATATTTTAGGAAATAGAACCAGCTGAATTCATGTAGGCAGGCCCAAACCAACATACTAACAGAAAGTGTGAGCAGAATAAAAAAATAAATAAAAATCAGTCCCATGCACATCTCTCAAATGTTATTGTATGAGTTTGAGGAACTGTCAGAACTCACAGCAGTTAGGCCACACCCACTTCATGTTTAAATCCAAATACAGATAAGAATATTTGGAGCACTAAACAGATACAGATAGTGTTACGCCCATGTGTTACAGCCCTAAAATACACTACTGATCATAGCATGGTGCTTGTTCTTAGGAAATTAAAAAAAAATGGGCATTAACGTGAAGTAGTTTATCATCATTGCGGAATTCTGACAATCAAACAATGTCAGAAAAGCTGCTTTGACCTTATAACATACTACGTCACATTCAACTGAATATGACATGAATTTGAATTACTTAAATGTTCAATCTTTTTACTCGTTTTCGTCAAACTTGTGTTAAATAAAGACGTTAAACAGAGAGATACGGTACAGATGTCTAAAATCTCGCCAGCTAAGTGAACATTATTCTCTAATCAGGTCCTTGGCGACATGCCATAGTGAAAAGGACGTAACGCGAATAGACTCAGTTTGTAAATATTAGAAATACCAGCTGTCGAATGATCCGGGATGCTCCTGCGTTCTTGCTGACACTGAAGAGACGGCGGTGCAGCATGTCGTAATGTTTAAATGCTAACCAGAATTTAGCCAGCAGGATAACAACGCTCGAAATAAATCAGCCGTTATTATAGCAGTCGAGAGAGGACGGACGATGAAGGCCCTGTTAGTAAAACCACGGCCTTTATGCTTAAGACATGAGACTAGAGAGACCGATGCGGACGATGTTCGTGTTCAAGTTCACCGCTTCGAAGTGTTCTTTGCTTTAATAAATCTTGGAGATATCAGGAACGTCTACCGAGTAGCTCACGGCAGCTGTAATGCTGTAGTGCTTCAAATATTCATATGCCAGTCCCTCTAGTCACAACCAGAGCCTTGTCAATCGTTCTCACAAGCTTTCTAAAGGAACACGCAAAAAAAAAAAGAATGTATTTGTATCAGTTTAGATGCGTGTGTATCTTTTCATACCGAATAATACATTCATATTCGGTTACATCCTTAATCCCTATGCTATACATATATAAAGAATGATCTGGATGACTGCTCTACGGCCCAGCGACATGAAAAATATGCTTATTTTATTCTCCGTTTTGAAGAAAAATGAAGGAAGGCATGGTGACTCGTGTGTGTGTGTGTGTGTGTGTGTGTGTGTGTGTGTATAAATCCCCCAAGCTTTGCAAGCCTCCAGCGTCTTTGAGAAAAGGGTGTGAAAAGTGATGCTATGGTTATTTTTCTTTTCTTTTCTTTTCTTTTCTTTTCTTTTCTTTTCTTTTCTTTTCTTTTCTTTTCTTTTCTTTTCTTTCTTTTCTTTTCTTCTCCCTCTTTCTTGTTAGATGTGATACAAATTGATCCCAGAAGAGAATGAACATTAGGGAGAAGAATTCTGCCCTCTTGTTTCCTCCAGGGTTTTCAATTTTACATAGCGCAGCTCTTAATAACATATTGAGGCAATCTGTCATGCAGTGTGAGAGCGGATCAGCTCCAGCTTCAATACACACACACACACACACACACACACACACACACACACACACACACACACACACACAGAGACACAATGGGAGACAATCGTCACCCCAGAACACCTCTTGGAAAGTTTCAGGATGCCTCAAGTGCCTTATTTCTAACAAATAACTCCGTCAGATTGTGGCCAGTCTGTGTTGTTGTTTTTCAGTCTGATTAAAACTCGCCTTCCGAAACAAAGCAGTGCAACACACCTCCTGCTGTGCTCCTCATACTGTTTAGAGAGAGACAGAGAGAGAGAGAGAGAGAGAGAGAGAGAGAGAGAGAGGCGTGGGTGGGGAGGACTAATCCACTTAGCAATTCACATCAATAACAGCAGGGAAGCTTGTATCCGGCGAGACAGAAACTTTTAAAGGAGAAAATGGATGCCAGTGTCTGAAAAAGAAGTGTCGGAATCAAACACGACCGGGATGAGCTGTTGTAGGGAAATAATCAACGACAGCGTTCCGTCCTGAGGCTTCCGCAGATACCGTAGCAGCACATACCAAGGTGTTTTACTGCTTCTTACCTCAGCAGTATGTCAACATTAACAATTGCTTTGAACTAACTAATGAACAAAACTTCATACGTTTTATATTCACATTTAACAATGTGGAACGTGTGCAAAACAGGTTCCTGTTCTCATGTGCATTGTAGCTATAAATATTCGTTCCCTCACTTTGTATTTCTTTATTTTGAAGTAGCTTTTCATGTTACAGGGAGATTTGTAGCTGCTGTTCGAGAAAATTATTCAACACCTTCTGACCAATCAGACCCCAGAAATCAACAGCGCTGTGATGGTAGAAGTCAGTATGAATCCAGGCTAAGGCAGTCAGTAGGAACATAAACATGGGCAGAAACATGTGTAGGCTACATGTACAGTAGACGCGAGTGTCTGGTTTAATGTTTCCGAGCAACGTGCTTGAAAGAACCGTGCCGTTTGCCCAACGTGGCAATAATAGTAAAGTAAAGATGGCTGTAGAGGCAAGAGGAAGCTCGCATACACAGACACAGACACAGAACATTGAGCTTTCCAGCTTGAATAATTAGAGGAGCCATGTTGTGATGCAGCTTTGGCAAAGCTAATGGAGTGGAAAATAAAGCATCCGATATCCCACTGTTGAAATAAAAAAAAAAAAAGGATGTGATTCATTCCAATTTGCAAGCGAAATCACTGGGAGTAGTTAGGTAAGGACCTGAATCCAGCAGACACAACACAGAGACTGCTTCATCTGAACACCAATCCTTTTAAAAGCAGCAGTCAAATCGTCGCAGATGACGCCTGGCTGCAGGACAAAACCAATATCTGCCTGCAGGGTTAATTGCTGCACATTTTTTGACGATGTGCTGGAAGACATTCGGTAAGGTAAAATGCACAACTTGAAGCCAAATCTCAGACACACTGCGGTATTCGTCTCGTTTTAACACACACATAACTCCACTCCACTCAGGAAAAGGCTTGATGATCTGAAAACACGAAAAACCTGTGCTGTATTTGGCCACTGGAAATCATCAGCTGAACGTGTAATGAGCTTCAGGGACAATTATGAAAAAACACCTCTTGTTTCAGTCACTACAGGCTGTGATGAGGAGGAAGAGACAGATGGAAAGAAAAGAAAAAATATGAGGAAACTTCTCTCAGGGCCTACCATGGGATTATATCCAGAATGGGTTATATTCATCTGATCCATACTATATAAAGGCTTCAAAGCAGAAACTAGGAACAAAGGATGCAATATGGCATGGAATTAAAATTTAGCACACACAGGACTTCAGAACGATACCAGAAGAAGAAGGAGATCCATCCATTTTCTATACTGCTTCTCCTACAGGGTCAAGAACCTGGAGCCTATCCAAGGGATCGTCAGGCACAAGACAGGGTACACCCTGGACAGAGTGCCAATCCATCACAGAGCACAATCACATCCACACTCCCACTTTGGACATGCCAATTCACCAGGAGGAAACCAGCAGCATGAGGAGAACATCCAAACGCCACATAGGTGGGAATCGAACCCTTAATCCTGGAGGTGTGAGGCGAACGTGCTAACCATTACATGACCATGTCACATGTCCCATTGATCACTCACACTTGTACTGGGATACCCCTAATAAGCACCCCTATTTAAGTTCTGGTTTCGGTGTTGTTGTTGTTGTAGTAGAAGTAGTAGTGTACAGTCTCCCATTTAGTCTGGATGTTTTGGCTTGGTTAATACGACAACAGATTTGGGTTACGTGTCATTGACTGCGCGTGCAGCACTTTATTTACAGGAAGTGCCTTTGGCGTTGCTCAAAGCTCAATTTATGGATGGCCATGTCGGGCTGGAATAGTGAAATGTTTGTTCTTTCTGTTTATGGTGTGGAGTAGAAAACATTACAGCATGTTGATGGACCTGAAAAGAGAACATTTCATTATAAAGAAGTAATCCTTTTTAAATACGCAGGCTCAACACATGCTGGGTCGCCAAAATCCTTTCAAAGTCATGAGCGATACTATCGTCAGAATTCCCCAATAGCACACCCACAGAGGTGTGGTTTATTCTTTAAATGCCATTGAGATGGGTCATGCAAGATGTAATGTCCAGCAAGAAGGGATGAAATGTTCATTTTGGTAGGTGTGCTGCATTCTGTCTTCCCCAAATGATGGTGTTTCAATTAGTTTGCTCAGAATGCTAATTCGTTTGGTTTCATTTCAGATTTCTTTCATTTTTCCTCATTCTTTTGCTCCTTTTACTTTTGTTGCTCCTTCTTGAAAATATTGTTCTTTGAAGGGGGGTGAAAGTGATAAAATAGCTGCCATATCACCTCAGCGGCTGTGTAAGTGATCGGTATGCGAGTATACTGTCTGCGTAATTGATCGTTACACAGAACACATACTCGCAGCATTCTCACGTATGAGATCGTGTGTATTCATGTAAGCATTATAAAGCTTCTATATTAGTGAGTGTACGCTAAATGATCTAGTTCAACTCATTATGATCCCTTCTCCACGTCTCGCTCTGGATGTCCAGCCCTTTTTTTTTTTTTTTCCTCTGATACAAAGTGTAGCGAGAGAGAGAGAGCCAGTAAAAGTATGATCGTTCGGAAGCATGTGCTGCCTTAACAGCATTTAATCAGCTCATCAATCCATTTAATCAGCTCATCAATCCATCTTGCTTCTCACACAGCCTTGATTTTATTCTCACACGTCCTTGCTTACTAAACGTAGCATCTTTCAACATGAATGTCATCCTCTGACATGTTGGCATTCACATGCTGGTGGTGCAATTTCAGCCTCTAGGACAAATCCTGGCTCCTTGCTATCATCAGTGATGATTTCTTATTTTTACAAGCTGGAGAACAGCATCCCGGTGTTTCAACGATGAAAATACATCGATATAAGGTTTCATTTCTGGCATCCACGTCAGATTATTTATTGTCTTAAAGTGGATTCGTTCTGACTTTAGTGGACACAAGGCTGGTTTGAGCTGACTGGAAGGATACGGTAACTCAAATAACAACTCATTACACCTGCGGTGAGCGGAAAAGCAACTCAGAAGGCCAAACCTTTACACTGATAGGATACTACAGCAGGAGACCACATCAGACTGAGCCAAGCACAGGAATCTGAAGTCACTGTACTTCAGTGGTTTGGTCCAGCAGAGCACTTTTTGGGAGATTTAAAGATCTCAAATCTGCAGCAATTACTGTATGTGATGCAGTCACATCAACGAGGAACTTTTTCCAATATGAGGCTGTTTTGAGAGCAAAGTGGCTCCTACCCAGTATTAGTAGCCAGTGAGTATATCAGCATATTACACATCAGTCACACCATTATCGATCCATCAGCTATACAGTGAACTGCATTTCATATTAACTCAAGTCCCAGCTTATTTTCCTTCATAGCAGGGTTGCACTTTATTCTATCAATCTATATATTGAACTCAGGTATATGTTATACCTTTATAAAATACTGCATAACCCCTACTGTGAGCACACAGGACGTTTGCCGTTCAATAGCCGAGAAACACCACACCATACATCCTTCCAGTTTCCCCTCTGGGCCCTTTGGTCTCTCTCCATTTCTATAGACTCAAGAAATGTCTTCCTTTGAAAGAAATAATCGGCTTGTATTCACGCTTTTGAATGAGTGCATTGTGTTGTTTTTTTTTTTTTTATCTCAGCATGAAATCATGACCTTAAGAACGGCCTACCTGTAGAAGTGAGTCATGAGTCTGCATCAAGCCAAGTTACAGTATGTTATGCTGAGAAGAATTACAATGCCAGGGGGGGGAAAAAATAAAAAAAATCTAACAGCTTTTCTGATTTAGAGCACAAAGAACCCTGTGCTAAACCTGTGTGTGAATTTAGAAATCCATTTAACCACCCTACCTTTTTTTTTATTCCAGATTTATATTTAAGGACTATTGTACGATTGTATTATCATATGTCTGTCAGATACAGTATGTGCAACATAAATGAGAACGAGAAACCAAAAGAATATTCCTCGCACTGACTTTGCCAGTCTGGTGGGAAGGAGCTTTTCTGGATTTCCACTCTTCGCATGAGTCAGGGTCACTTAATCCACAGTTGGATTAAGACATCTTTTTTATTGTCTTATTATTATTATTATTATTATTATTATTATTATTATTATTATTATTATTATTATTATTATTATTATTATTATTATTATTATTATTTTTATTTATTTATTTATTTTATTGCCGAACTCCTATTGTAATGCAGTGTTCATGGTAGTCAAAGAGACTAAAATACCATGTACAGCGTACATTTAAACATGGCTTGTTTGAACGTATTTCAAAATAACAGCGCCCAAAATCCCTCTTCATAGCTAGAGCGATATTTCTAATATTCATTTAAAAAAAATAAAGGAATGAAACAAATGGAATGAATGAACCAACAGCAGATGAGATTGTGTCCCCGCTGCCTTGAAGACTTCCCCATGTTTGCAGCTTAATGTTAAAGCTTTACCTCTGATCTATTACAAAGCGCTGACACTGGAGACTCCTTCCCTAAGTAAAGCAAACCTCTCCTTTAACAGATCAACAATTTCACATGTTTTTCACATTTCTGGTTGTTCGGTGCGGCGTCTGAAGGCCCCAAGTCCCCGTGAGTTTCTCTCATGGCTCCATCAAATCAAATGTAGTCCACATGGGGTCACCGCCTAGTTTGGGAATGCCTGCATGTGGAACCATCCACAACAGCAGAAGTCACACGTGAAGAAGCTCCAAGCCTGTATGTGAAATTAAGAATGTTTCATGACAGGCTGAAGAGTGTGATTAACCGTAGCTTTATTCATGTGAATTGTAATGATGCTGAAAACTCCACATGCGATTGAATTGAAAAAAAAACAGAAAAAAAACAAAAAACGATGGTTTGCTGAAAGCTTCACTCTGACTAAGTCAACGTGACCAGATATCATCATCACACAAAAACACACACACACATGGAAAAGGCAGCTAAAATAATTTAAAGTGGAAATGATGGCAATTTCACTGAACTGAACCTGCCTGTGATCCATTTGGATAATTGTGTTGTTGTTTTTTTTAATTCTCAAAAGTAAAAGTATACTTTTATTTCATGTGAGGAAAATGTCACTTTTATTTCAACTCTAAAAGACCCAGGATTAAAAATAAGTAAATAAATAAATAAAGAAAGAAAGAATACATGCTGCTTCAACAGAAAGCTGATTCTCAGGTTTTATTTAATCGAGATCTTTTAAAACACACACAATGGAGAGAATTGAGCAATGCCTCTTAACCTCCCCCTGCCCATGAAAAGTACAGCGAAATAGCTTTTTTATTTATTTATTTTTTATTTTTACATTCACACATTCATATTAATTTCATTATTTGCTATTTAGAAACTTAAAAAAAAAAAAAAATCATAATTATTATTAAAAGTTACAGTGAAAGCCGTATATATAATGAACTATGAACATTATAATGCATCCTCAAAGAAAACAACGTGTTAAAATCACCGTATTTATTAACATGCACTAAACTTTACAGCAGTCTGTATTACGTATTCTTTGCTGAACCCGGAAGTGTTGTTTGTTTTCTATTTATAGTTACATGTAACATTGTGGAACCACAAAATAAGTTTGTTTTGTCGAGCACAAAGTATCGAGTGATCACCTGTTCAGCTGTATAGTTTTCATATTTTATCTGAAACATAATTAAAGTGCCAGAGCCGTTCTTAAGGTCATTTTAAATCATTTTAAATATGCTACACTCGCACGTAACAGACGCACAGTAAATGAACATATGAGGTACTGTATCACCTCAGTGACGAGGAAAGGTCCGGTTTAGTACCATGTTTTTTGTTGTTGTTGTTGTTGTTGTTGTTGATGATTTTTCAATTTAGTATCAATTCTGTATCAATTGGAATGGCAATGTCAGTTCATTTTGTTTTTGCTTTTACGTACATTTTTGGACGTTAAGGACCTCTGTTTTGTGTGTGTGTGTGTGTGTGTGTGTGTGTTTGTGTGTTTGTGTGTGTGTACTTGGAATTACCTTTTGGCAAGCTTTAAAGCTTTAAATAAGCTTTAAACGTTTAGTAAAGGGAAATACCAACACAACAACATAAACAAGGGAAAGTTTAGTAGATTGTTTCCTGAGTGCAATACTTCTTTGCAAAAAAAAAAAAAAAAAAGGTATATTCTTAAGAGAGAGATGGAGAGAGAGAGAGAGAGAGAGAGAGAGAGCGCAGAATGGCATTTCCTCACGCTCTCCTCCAGTGGAAATGCCGTAGCTATTTTTTGTTATTCAACATCTTGTATATTTTGCGAGGATTGTGTGGGCAGACCATTAAATATTCACGAGATCAGTTGCTGTGACACTGCACGGGGCGAGACCTCAGGCTGTCTATTAGCAATACACATCTCGGTGAATGACAGAGGCAATTAACCAGGTGAGAATCACGCTTGCTATAATATTTAATGCAGAGTAGGTTTGGAATCATGGTTGCAATTCGACATGGACACATTATTATTATTATTATTATTATTATTATGCATGAGATTCAGTTGTTTGGGTTTTTTTGGGGGGGGGTTTGTTTTTTCTT